GCAACGCGCTGCGAGAGATCAGGCGACAAAACACAGACCGAATGCCATTCCACAGCTAGAACGTATTGCACAGCTAGACATATCAAAAATATTTATGGACTACAGCTGCAGTTTGGGTTTGCTGATGATTTGTCTGGATCCAGGCAGCATGACTGGGACGCCAAGTTGTGACGACCTCACCAATAACAAAAACATTTTGCAACTGTGATTAGTGGCTTCTAAGCCAAAGAGAGATGGTTGTTATTAGTATTATTAACAGTAGCTCTAAACTAGTGGGAGAATAGTGCATTTATACATCTGTTTGTTCCTCACCAGTTGGCCCACAGGTACATTTCTTTATCTACCTTACACACACAGTCTCTCTCCTCTGGCTCTGTGTTCCATATAAAACGACAAGCTTCAGCCTCACTCTGAATCATCAAATATACATCCTAGTATAACCTGCAGTAGTACAGGCCTTAAAGATCAAAACCAAATGCCCACAGAACATACAGTATTTTAAGGTTTATGGTTTCATTATTTGACAGCAACAATGACCAACAAGCAAATCTCCCCAAAACCTACATGTACAAAAGTCCTGAATTATGCAGCTGTCGTTCAGTTCAGTTCATGCTGCGATTAGCCTTTTGCTCAAAGTGCAGCCTGACAGTGCCACTAGAACGACTGCAGGCTCTTTGACTAGTCTTTATTTGGGTTACAGAAGTGGAGAATCCGAGATAATCACACTGTGGGTGTCAGGGTGTGGAGAGGTTTTCATTTTTTAACTGAAACATAATTTGCACATTTCTGCTGGCCAAAGGAATTAGTCTCTTTTCAATCTACACCCTAACTTGGAAACAGCCCTGTTGTTGCTTTGTACATAACTACCAGATGTGTTAGGAGTGTTCTGTTTACTGTCTTATCAGTTCTTAGTGCCTGTATATTTAAGACACAATGTGACACCTGTGTGCCTGCTGAAATTCAAGGAACAGAAAATTGAATTATTATTGCAACATTTTAGTTTTTGTTACATCAATTGTCACTGGTTGTTGCTGCTATCCCTTACCCCCTTTGACACCTTGCAGGCACCTTTATAGTTCTGCAGGGAACTTAGCAGCTCATTGTTCCAGACTGAAATTGTTTATCTCAACAACAATAGCTTCAGCTGCTCTTTGTGTTGAGTGTGGAAAATTAGCATGCTATCACACAAAACTGAGAGAACAGGGTAGACATCATTCTGCTACCAGCAGCATGCTGATAGCATATTAGCACTGCTGTGCCTACTGTACAATACAGACACATAGAGCACAGACTTTAGACTTGCAGTTTAAACACCAAAAGCCTTGTGGTAGTTCTGATGAAAGCCTGGTGAAGGCCTGCCAGTATTTAGGTGGCCTGCATCCTCTGCCCCTGTGCTTGCTGCAGCCTTTTCACATTAATCATTACACCTTCTACATATATAGATCAGTCTGGGCACAGAGTTTAGACTGTGTCTCATAAAAGCACCTTGGGCCTGAGGGATGGTGTTGAGGGACAGCTGCAGGACGCCTAAATCTGGTGTCTAATGAACTTCCTCTTGTTTGAAGTCCACAGCTGTCTAACACTGTTAGTCACCCTCAGAGTGGACACCAATGCACACAGAAGAGCTAACAATAGCATCTGACATCAGAAAAAAACAAGTCCGTTTCTTTATTTGCAGCATGTGTCAGTGTTTACCGCACGCCACAAGCTGTAAGCAGACTTACACATGTGGGGAGCAGTTCCTCTGTTTTTGCCCTTTTACTTGGGACAAATGTCAGGAAAAATGTCAAAGGTTCTGTGAGGCTCAGTGGGTATAGCAAGGCACTTACACTGTCACCAATGGGTGCGATCAGTGCGTAAACTGTCATCCATATGGATAAAACCCTTCACAGAGTGACACATTAGATGTTATATCTAGAGCCACATACTGTTAATGGAGTCACTTGTGATGCTTATCTGCACGTCTCATTTTTTCTCTCTCACAACATCAAAACAGACCTTTAAAGGTGCTGCCTGCAACATTTAGTTCTTCAAATGAAAACCATATTTTCATAAGTGTTGTTGCTTCCTGTCCTTTCTTGTGTCTTTTGCTTTTTTATGGCAATGCTCCATTAGTGCCAGAGGGACAAGAAGAGCTGAGTCAACAATGTACTATAAATAAAGCTTAGGTGATCTCAAGATAAAGCACAGGCAGATAGAAAGGCTGTATTTGCCTTAGTGTTTAAAGATCTTAAAATGCAACTTGTGGCATATGTGATCTGCTCTCTCTAGTTTCCTGTATTGGCCTAAGTGTACTGACAAAACATATACAGTAAGTTTCTGTAGGCTACTTCAGTGTCCCTGGGAGGAAGCAGGCGCTGTAGAAGCGTCTCCTGCTTTTTTTCCAGCGTCTTTTCTCGCAGCAGAAAAAGCCCAGCTGCTAAAATGTCACATAAACGCAAAATGCTTTCCTGCGTGGGCGTAAAGTAAGGACAGGACGTTGCGCAGCCGCTGATTTAAGCGCAAAAGTCCCTCAACTAGAAGAAAAGTCCCTTCATATATTTTTGTTCTGTTTTCTGGGGAATGACAAAAGAGGAAGTGGGCTTTAACTTCTCAGGAAAGATGTATTATTCCTGTACAGTAGCATCCAATCCACCCCTCGTCTTTTCTGCCTGCTCAGCAAACTATACTCTGCAAGTCAGCCTCCTTTTCAGCGTCAGCGCGCACGCGCACGCACAGATGCCTGGGTGCGAGTTAGTCAAAGCGAATTCGAGCGGAAAGTTAACTTCTTAAAAATATTGTTTTAGAAACCGAACCTCTGGTGTTTGATAAAAACAACCGGATGTTTTGACCACATCACAGCATGACACGCGCACAAGCAGCGCCATGAAAACAGCAGCACGCTAAGTAAAAGCAGATGTTATCTTATTGTTGGTGTTTTGCTAACTTCTTTAGTTGTAGGCTAGCATCTCAAAGTCATGAACAGAAACCCGCACCAAGCTCCACTTACTTATCAAGCACAAAATAGAGGTCAAACGCGCCCTGACAGGAGCTCTCCTCCTCCTCTTCATCCTGAGGCTCCGGCTCGGCTCTCGCCGATGGACAAGACAGCAAAAATAATCCGAACAAAGCCAGAATAAGACGCATGTTCAACAAAGGCCTCGCCATAACTTCTTCTTGGGGAAAAGGTTAATTCCTTTGCAAATGATGATGAAAAACAAAGCAAACGTCTTACATCCCAGAGACAGTTGTAATAGAAAAAGAGAGATCCAGCCGACGTTCCCACGTTTCTTTTGTTTTGAGCTCAGTCTCCAGTCATGGCCACACGCATACCGGTCAAAATGCCACTGGAGAGATGCTTTCTCCCACAGGAAATTATTCGAAAACAAAACTTTCGAATGATTCTGAATTCACTTGCAGGTAACCGGAAAAAAATGTTAACAACCTTTAAAGAAATATATCCAAATCGGGATCAAAGCAAGAAATGGATAAAGTGATGAAATGGGTGGCTCGTCCTAAACTGGATAATAGTTTCCTGTCACCGTGTCAAAATTGGTTTAGGTATGAAAAAAGCCAAATGAAGCTGGGTAATGCAGAGCAGAGCTGGCGCTGGAAGAACTGGGAACTTGGCTGAAATGGACCAGGTTTCGTATTTCATGGGTCAAGAAGTGCGTCCCTCACGTGGCACACTGACGTGTTTTGTGGGGAATCAGGCAGAATGGGATGATTATTATGGGACCTATGTCATATCAGTGTTTAAGACAGCAGCGTTAGTCTTTTCACTCTAAACAAAGGTGTAGCTTACATTTACATATATTTTTCTTGAAATGTTATGCTCTATATTAAGCGTATGGATCCAGCTTGTCTAGTGGTGTTTATGTTAGGGGCCAGAGTAGTAACACAATATCTAGCTTTAGCTTTTCCTACAGTTGTAATGCTTTAAAACTGGAAAGTAGGAAAATTTAGTTGCTGAATATATGGTTTGTTTTGAGCAAATATTGCGTTTTTGGTGTCTTAGTGTAAAATGTGGCCTACATTTAAGTAAAGTGTTACATTTTATATTGCAATATTAAAATGTAGGTTTTGAAACATGACAAAAACATGACAATGAGTTCCACAGTTTGTAAAAGTCACTAGACAAAGTGATGAGAAAGTGTCATTTAGTACTAGTGATACACTTCAGAATATAAATTCTTAGTATTTACTTTCAGCTTTCACAGGAATTTGTTATAAAGATGGCCAGAAAAAAGTCCTTATTTTATTTGGCTCCATTTACTGATGTTCCTTCCTCCAGAGCCACTCTTTGTCTGAGAAATATTTGTATAAATGAACTGTAATCTGCTGTCCTGTCACTTCTACACAAACCAGGCAGACAAACGGTTTCCTAAAGTGAGTATCAGCCTGAAGTTTTTTTCACGTTGTTATGGAGCTTTAAGCTTCAGACCCCCTTTCCCCTACTGCATCTCTACATTATGACCCCCTAACCCTTTGGCCCCTGTTTAAAGTCTTAACACATGTTGATGTGGGCTGACTTATCCCCATTTAACTGATCCCTTCTGTAAACATTGTGGTTTACAAATAGAAGTCCAGTGCTTCCTAGAGCCCTGCTCTCTTCCAAGGTCTCGCATCCACTCATTTTTACAAATACATCCACTCATATACAACACTCTCATTAAAGCTCAAATGACTGTATATACCCATTCACTGAGAAATAAAAACAGTACTAGCCTGCCTGTATTCTAAAAAACCGATTCTTCTCACAGTCAGTATCCTTTAAGAGAAAAGTGAATTGAAATTCAAAGAAATTTCATTTTAAAGACTTGAGATGTAATAGACTAAAATAATCTGGTTACATGTTTGTGTGGGTGTTCAGTATTCAGCTGTGTAACAGCCCCTTAGATTTTACTTGTACTTGCAGATTGCCTTTATTGTACTTCTCATTTTCAGTCTTAATCAAACCCTCTGTGGCTTTTCTGTTAGCTGATTCCTTCAATACTTAGACCACAGCATTGTCTATTGTGGTCTCAGTAAGGAAGTCCACATTTTACTCTATTGTTGGTGAACTAATGCTACCATTTTTGTAATGTTAAAACACATTTTTGTCTGTTTGATGCTTCATGTGTTGCTGCAAACATGACCAACACACACTCAGTTGTATATTTACATTGCCTTTTTTATTGTGTCTCACCACTGGAATTGATACAACCTGAGTATGTCCAAATGACCATAAAACATTTCATATAAACAATTAGGACATCACATGTTATAATTTTTTTACCAGAGTATCAAGCAAATTACTTTACAGATGTCCCAGTTCCAAATATCCTACATAATATATGAATTTCAAACTTAGTTTGAAGTTATTTAATGGGTATTTATTCAATTAGTCTCTTTTCTTTGCGTATGACCTGTCAAAAATGTTATTTCTGAATGTTGTCTTGATGTTGCAACTCATCTTTGACACAAATGTAGACCTATACAGTGCATACCCACAAAACATTTGTGCTGGCCATCAGCACCATTCATTCTGATAACCTATGACAGCCCAAGTACCATTTGACAAAAATAAAAGTCATAAGTAAATCTTGTTGAAACTTTTCTCTACATTACAAACTAACTAAAAAGGCTCAGGTTTTGAGAAAATTATTAACAGATTACACTTTGTACATTATACTCAAACTACATTCTTCACCTCTTTAACAAATCTAGATTCTAACCATTTGAAATCATTCGGCTACCAAAGCAAAGGTGACTTGGATTTGTTCAGGATGTAGTTTGCTTCTGTTCTGCAATGTGTTTGTTAAAGATGCCCTTGGCAGTCTCAAGGGCGGCATCAGCTGAGACAGGTATGTGAGGTGTGATGCCAGCCCCCTCCCAGGTGGGCCCAGCAGTAGTGTCAGAGTGGACGGTGGGGATGCTGAGGAAGATGTTGGTTTCACCAACACGGAAGATCCTGGGTGGGTGGGAGGCCCCAGCTGTGGTCTCTCCGATGATCATAGCACGGCCAAACTTCTTCATGATGTAAACAAACTCCTCTGCAGCGCCGGCAGTTGCTCCGCTGGTCAGGATGATGAGGCTCTTTTTGGAGCCATACCTTGTGCCTGAGCATAAGGTTTAATGAAAGCAGAACAAGATTAAAAATGAGGGATGGATGAGGTAGAGAGGTGAAATAGTTAAAAGGGTTGAGTTTGAATAAGAAGATGGAGCTAAATACTTTACTTTGTTCACCATCTAGCTGCTAACTTTGTTGGCTAGAAGTCTATGGCACAATGCTGTACACATGATTTGCTTTCTTTTTAAATTACCAGTGAGATCAGGCAGTGTCCGGAGCTCTGTAATGGTGCCTGATGGTCTGTCGTACAGCTTGTCCAACACAATCTGCTTGTCAGCATCAAAGAAGTAAGAGCAGAAGCCTGCGATGGCTGTCGTAGGGCCACCAAGGTTGTTCCTGCAAGTACAGTTACAGAACAATTAATGGGTAGACTCTTGATAAAACTGAATGATCCTGTGTGGACTTCTTTTATGCACCTATGGATTGGCAGGTGTTTTAAAGTAAGAGGTAACATTCAAATTAGTTTGCTGAGCAACTGATCAACAAAGTGCTTCTGACAACCTTTGCTGGTTAAAGTGATGGATAGATTATCAATACATAGGTGGATAAATTCTTTAAAAAAAATCAATAATCCACTTTTACTAACTAAGCCTTTTATATGTAGACATGGACTGATGAGCTTTAGCAGATAATTTGTATTCCACAGTGGCTATGCAGAGGTTTGAATAGGGGCTCTGACTTGACTTGCGCCGAGTGCATGATTATTCACCTGAGGTCGATAATCAGGGCATCAGTGTTGACAACTTTGTTCCACACGTGCTCAACAATAATTTGAGCAATGGCTTTGACCTCTTCAAAGTCTCCAAACATGTCAAAACGCAAATAGCCAACATTGTTCTCGAATATGTCGGTGTGGAAGGAGACTTTGATCAGCTCAATGTACATCTCTGGAGAGTAATTCTGGGTTGAAAGACAAGCAGAAAATTAAGTTAAAATTTGCACTGACAGTGTGTCCAGTATATTTTTCTCATACTAAATATATTTTCTTCACATATTTTTATTTATTGAATGGCAAAACCATTAGTCTTAGTTTGACTTTAATACTGCAAAAACATTTTCCCCTTTTACTGTTTGTATATCACATTTCTCACTGTAAACTCTATAAACTATAAGCATGTCAGTGTTTAAACCTTAAGAACTAGCACTAACATCCACTTTCACAACAAAAACACCAATACTCTTTTATAAAAGGGTCTCACCATAGGTGGCAGGGGTGGGGTGTTGCTGGTAGTCTTCAGGCTCTTATCACCAGAAAAGGTCTTCAAGTCAGTGGACAGCTTCGCCTCTAGACTGTCCTTGGAGACAACCATATTGTAGTAACCTTTTGCCAGGAGCCCTTTCAACTTTTCTGCAACATCAGCCCCTATATTTTCAAAGGCATAGTTGTCAGCAATCAAGGTCGCTGATCCCTCAATGATGGCTGGCACTTGGACACGGAGGTTGGCAATCTTGATGGCAGTGGCAAGGGCATCCTCAGCGTTGACCTCCACATCAGGGGTCACACCTGTAACCTCCCAGGTGGAGCCGGTGATGGGGTTGATGGACTTTGCAGTTGGCACTGTAACATAGAAGTCAGTGTCTCCTACTTTGATTTTGCTGATTTTCACTGAACCTCCGGCAGTTTTCTCGCCCACAGTGGTGGCCCTCTTCAGGTTCTGGAGGCAGTAGGCAACGTCCTCAGCAATGCCCTTGGTGTTTTTGCTTGTGAGGATGATTAGAGGTTTGGTTATGCCATATCTCTCCCCCAGCAGTGTGGACATAGAAAACAGCTTAGTGGTGGTGTCTGAGGGACGGTCATACACACTGTCAATGTGAATCAGAGGCTCAGCTTCAGTGAAGTAGGACACAATGTAGGGGATTCCTGAGATGTCCCCACTGCCAGTGTAGCGCAAGTCAAAGATCAGAGCTGAAGTTGGTAGGATTTTACTCCAGATCAGGTCTAGGAGTAAAGGGCCAACCTTGTCAACAGCCTCCTCCCCAAGGATATGATCGATCCGCAGGTAACCAATGTTTCCCTCCAGGATGTCAAGCTTGATGGAGGTCTGGAGGACAGCAATGAGCTGCTCAGGGGGCAAGGGTGGCATCTTTGGGGAAACTGCAGGGATGTAGTTCGGCTCATAGGAAATCCTCAGGCGTTGGTCTTTGATTATGGTCTGAAACCCCGCGCTGAGGACATTAGCCAGGGTTTCAGCATCTGGGATATCGATAACCTCCGTGTTGCTGCTTGCTGCTTCAATTGCCTCCTTCATCCCCACCAGCTTCTCTGGTGAGCAGTAGTTGCCCATAATGATTTTTGCCATATCAATAATGAGGCTGGGAGTAAACGAGGCATGAATAAAGACATTTCTCAAAACTAACAGAGATGCCACCAGAAAAAAAATCTTTGTCATTTTGTTAGTTTTGTCAGACAAAATGTACAGTAAGTAAAAACCAAGTGGCTGCTGACAAGATGAACTTCCTTCTCCAAAGAGGCTCGTTGTCAAATGGCACTGTTTTCACTGCAACGTTTCTGTTAACACACACATAAGAGGATTTACCCCACAATAATCCTCTAATCCTATTTTCCTAAGTGCTTGGCCAAGTAGGTATAGTAGCAAGAAGGTGTTGCCAAAGATACTCTTACTTTATACAAGGTACCTCAAGCACCTTTTTAAAGCTGCTTGTATCAAACAAGGCAACTGTAACTGACATATCTACAAAGGAATCAGCGGTGGTGAAAGGTTTTAGATGAAAATGCAAGAAAATGTTCAAATAAATTTCATCAATTATATGGCTTTGATTGCCATATAATTCAATGTAAAGCTGATATGTGGCCAGTTCTTTCCAGTGATTTCTTCATGATCTAAAAGTAATATTCCTGTGAATTTCTGGAAAGTAAATCAAATTTCAATTTAAGCCTTGGTCTTTGAGTTTAGTAATTCAGAAGCACTGAATTCTTTATTGTTTCAAAAATGGGATGACTTTATTCAGTTCACTTGATGATGTTATTTTCCTTTCTGAACTGGCTGTTGAAGTGAAAGATACAGTTTTGGTTTGTTTGGTCCTTGCTCCCTCTGCTGGTTATGTGTTGTAGTTAAGGAAGAGAAAAGCTGAGACTTCACAGCATTTCAGCAGCGGACCCAGGTAGCCGGCTTCGGTGCATGCAGTGATTTATTATATACAGTGAACAAGGGAATGACAAAAACACAGAGGGAAATGATACATAGTCCTGTAGATGAGTTGTAACCGGGTGTTTGACCAACCGCAGGAGGTGAGGAGATGGAGAGCTGGGCCGAGCTGCATAGGTGGGGTCACTCCTGGGCTGGTCGACGGTGATGGTGGTTACTGAAGGTAGGGACAGAGAGATGAAGGCAATAGTGGAAAAAGATAGG